ATTTTTAATTTATCCATAAACAGTTGACTTGCCAAAATCTTTGCAAATACTTCTGCTTCCAAAAAAAAAAAAAAAAATAAAATCTTAGCTGTGTAGACACTTGTTAGAACCATTTAATGAGTTCCGAAGGCTTTTTTTCATTTTGCCTCTTCGATACCCACGAAAAGCCGGCAAAAATATTCCAGTTTTGCTAAAAGCTAGGTAATCCAGGCTGTATTTGTGCGGGTGCCACACATGTAGTTTTTAGTACTCCGATTATTATAATAGTATCATAGTTTGAAGGAATTGATTCTTTTCTAGTTCATAAGTTTGCAAAAATGAGTTCCGCTCACAACTGCGAGCACGTTGCTACTGTGTTTTTTTTAAAAAAAAATGAGAATTTCACAAAAACTGAGAATTAAATACAAAATTTTTAAAATGAGAATCCCATAAAAATTTCCAGCGTTCATGGTAGCTTAAATCAGTGAACATACTTGAACTTCCTTAGATCAGGGTATTTACAAACAAGCATTTGCTTCGAATTGGTTCCCAGTGCGAAAAAACGTCCACTCGGATGAAATGCCACAGCTCGTATCGCTTGTGCGTCCTCGTACCTGTTGAAATCATAGATTTTCTCACTTTATTTATTTGCCTCAGTGATTTCTTAATTCATTCACTCGGAGCACGATTCCACCCTATAGTGCTTATTCATTGACTTTGTGACACAGAACGCAAAAAGCTGTGGCTGCTAAATTCTAGCATTTGCAATTTACTTACTTAAAGTGCAAATTGTCTGAAATCTAAATTTTTATTCAAAAATAAATAATGAGCTGTAATTCATTCAGTGATAAGCAATCGAACTACTTACCTACAAACAGGAACGAACTGTACGCTTAATCCACTACTCGAACAAGGTGCCTGAGGGATCGAAGCAGCAATAGATGGAACCCCAACAGTGCTGGCACTTCTACGTACCGGCGATCTTTCGGTTTTTACAGGTCTCATGTGAACCTGCGATGTTGTCATAGCTGCTGGTATCATCGGAGCCGGTGCCTTTGGAATTGTACTTGGCTGCAATTTCATTTATAATACAAAATACGAAATACATTAATGCGCAAAAAGATTCACTGCGTTATCGGTATGCAACTTGCAGAAATTCTTGAAACGCACCAAAGGTGAGGAGCAGGTGCGCAAAAGTGTCAAAAATGAATCACGTTTTATTTTCATAAAAGATATAGATCGAAGGAGATTAAATATCCCATCCTCGCTAATATATCCTTTGAATCCTTCGGATCGTAATGTGTTCACTGCTGTGTTGTTTGCCTTCGTGCTTCACATGAAGAAATTGGAACGTATGACTTTTATTACATGCTACTCACAAACACACATTCTACGGTGTCCAGCGCCTCCTAATTTTGCTATCATAGGCTGCCTACACTTCCTAATTTTTATCGGACTTTTGTGAGTGTCTGTGATATCTAAGTTTTGCATGTTTAAGCGATATGCTTCTAAATGCTCCCTTCGCCCAACCGACTTTTTTTTCCTGTATATAGTACAACAAAAGGGATTTCTTCGGTAATCGCAATTTTTCAGAACAATATAGGTACCATATATGATGGCGCAGCCGTTTTTCGCGGTGCATAGTCAGCTGCAGCAGATGGAGCATCACCACATGGCATTGCGGATGAAGGATCCGATCCACCTCCGGTATTAACTTGCATCATTTGATAACTGAGGCTGTCAACATGAGCTTGCACTGGAGCATTTTCACGCTGCTTTCCTGGAACGAAACTAGTTTTGGAAATTTTGAGAAATCATGCCTTTAAACAAGTCGATAACTTTTGCTTCTGTCCTTGCTTCCTTTTTTTCCTGTCTCCCCCTAAATTTCCACTGCAACATTTTTGTCCCGGAAAATCCGCCAAAGGCCGGCAAAGAAGCTGCCACAATGAACTACACACTGTCCAAAAAAAGGCAGTTAATAAACAAAAAAAGGTGTGCTGTCTGTGGGAGGAGGCCAAGAAAAGAAAAGTGCATTCTGCCTTGAAAGACAGATCCGCAGTGGACGTGTTGCCAGGTTGAGCATGCAGCACAAGAGCCGGTGGTGTAGTGGGTAGCACGTAGCGTCCGGATGTGAAGGAGAGTGGTTCAATTCCCTCCCGGCCCACAATCCTTTTCGAAGAGGATCACTGTTAACGGCAACTGTTTTTTCACCTTCCCTCTTATTTGAGGAAGTCAGTTCTGACCACGGAGTGTTTTTCCTGCGAAAGCTAATGAAAAACAAAAAAAAAATTTTCTTTAAGATCATTAAGTCTAGGTCCCTCATTTCTACTTGGTTTCAAGTGGTCGATCATCCAGGAAACTGATATTGTTGGCTGATGTGCATGAATGTATTTCAATAACATCGAGGATTCCGCATCAGCAGCTCGAATCTGTCGGTGACATTTAGTTCCGCATTCAATAATGTCAAGATCGGAGTAAAATTCATTTCGTACAATGAATGAAGGTTTGGGGCAAGGATGCGCACTTTTTTTTAAATATTTCAATATCATTATTATTATTATCATTATTGTTACAGCTGTAATTATTATTGTTACTGCAATAGTTTTATGGCAAAATTAAAGCACCACAAGCACAGTTGTGCACTGGTAAACACATCTAGAAAAAAAAAATTAGTAGCCTTGTTCACGAAGATGACGATTCGAGAACTCCTGGAACAATCTTGATGTTGTCATCGGATTATTCATTGGCTCCATGGGTACTGCTGCTGGCGGTGGTGATGATGATGTTTCTGCAGGTTCGGTGGCAAGGGTACCCGTAGGATTCGGGGAACTTTCTGTCCGTGCCGATTCAACCATGGAACTTTCGCTTGGAGTCGAAAGTTCCGGTACAGGTGGCAACGAGCAGAAGCGCTGTCCACGTCGTGCCATATCTTCCAGTTGACGACGTGGCGTCTGGTCGAATGAGAGGGAGATTTGCATCATTGGCTGCGTTAGTGGCGGAGTAACAAATCCCACACTTTGCGTCATAAGTAGCGGCCTAAAAAAATTCACAAAATCTTAGAATTTTTTTTGTCAAGCAATAGCAACTGTGGCAAAATCGTTAAAGGCATTTACTCACAGCATTTAACATAATTGGAATTGATATCAGTTTATAATATGCTTGTGTATATGCTTTACCAGTTGCTTAGACCAGTGCCGCATCTCTTCCCGTGGTCAGTCTACTGGCAATACTGGCGCTCGATTTATGTGGTTCTTAGCCGGAGAAGCTTGCGGTGAGACTGTTCTGCTTTGTTGCTTCATGGATTTATTTTTCCGTTCTTATAACAATAAAGTTAATTTGACGCTCTCCTTATTGAGTTCAAAGATTTTTAAACTGTACTTAGGACAGAAATCCAGTGAAAAGCGAATTTAAAATTTAGGTAGGAAAGTGAGGGAAATGAGAGAGGGAAGGGAGAATGCAAACGCACGGGGAAGCAAGGTTGGGATGGAGAAAAAGGAGGTCATTTATTCGAAAATAGTCTTTTTTTTTATAATGATGACTGTCTTCGTGCGTTTCGTGCTTCTGATTCGTTTGATGGGCAAATTTTTGCAGTTTGTTTGGCAAGAACGTCCGGATTGCCAGTAAGCTGTTCAGAATCAATGAATTATCATGATATGAACTACAGTTGATCAAAAGTATCGTATGAATAGAAGTGTGGCTGAGAAAGTAGAACGCACTTGTGGTGAGATGAGGAAAATGGAGACATTTTTCATAAATCAAGGATATTTTTTATAAATCATCCCTTAGCTTTAAACATAAACCAAACGCAGCATGCGGGAAGGATTGGGAATCATCAGTACAGCCTCCTATCCGTTATGTACATAATGAGCATGTGCCAAATTGCATAAGACCGGAAATGAAGAGAAGAAAGCTTACTGATCTTGCTGCGCGGCGGCAAGCACTGCAGTTGACGACTGCATGGATGCTGCACAAGGATACGGTAGAATCTGCAGTGGTTGCTGGGGTTTACCGGGACGGCTACTTCTCGTGTGCTCAGATGTTTCAAACATCACATCGATCATCTGGCTCTGGGCCATCATTTCCTCCGGATGTTCTTCTGCCGTTGTACTTTGGATTGAGAAACCCACAGATGGCATCGTTGAATAGGACATTGGATGCATTGAAGCTCGTGCACCTGGCATTGCGCCTGAAATGTTGATTCAGGTAGCGATACAGCAGAATTGCCGGTGATCATGCGTTTTTTGCACGAAATTTGAAACAATCGGACCGTTAACAGTATAAACCGCTGCTGTTTCACAGTTTAACACAAGGGATCATGCTGGCTATGTTTTGGCCTTTTCTCGCATGCAGAGGAAAATGGGCGTCAGCTGAGCCGATAGTGTTGTATCATGGAGCCGCGTAAAATCTTAGACTCCGACATGTACTGTTCCACAAATTTAGCATGGAGTCGTTCATCGAAAAATGCAAATTTGACAATGAACACAGGATATTGGGAAGGATGATGAAATTCACAAAACGCTTTTGATTTTGTGAGTGTGATAAAATTGAGTATTTGTTTTGTTCGTTTCCCTTCATTGTCCCATTCAGTTCACAAATACTTGCAAACATCTTATTGGCTGTTGTTTCATCATCGCGATCATTTTTACCTCTAATGCATCTGGTAAATTTGATTGATTTTCGGCTTTGTTGAGCAGGTGCTCCCCTTGTCAAATCAAGTCAAGCTTCACTGCTAAATGCAGTTTAGGATTAATTCAATTTTTTCAGTCTTTTATTCGACTTATCGTTCCTCCCTAACGAAGACGTTACTTTACCCAAGAAACGCAAAGGTGATCAAATTCACCTTTTGTTTGAAATGCCAAAATTTTTGCCTAAAAACTATTTAGTGTCAGACCAATAAACTTTAGGAGCTCGATTTGTTTAAAGAGCATTAATTTGCTTGAATTATTTTACTGCATTTGGTTAAACAAAATTCATACTCCGAAATTTGAAAAACTTACCAACGGCAATCGACGAAGCCATAGAAGGGGTCACCATCGAACGGGTCATTTTCTCAGCACATTTCAACTTTGCATTGGGTACCAAAGCGTGTGGAAATGTGCCACCAGGTTTAATGGGTGTTGCCAGGATATGCTCGGTCCATTGCGCTTCTAATTTCGGCTTCCTTAAACAGAATGGTTTATGAATATTTCGTAGTTTTCATTAAAAAGATGAAACATAAAGGTCATTTCATAAACGGTCATACCATGTTTTTTATTTTACGCAAAACCGGAATTATTCGATCAATTTTTTTTTAGAAGAAAGTGGTATGGTCATTCATACTGATCCAGCTAGCCGGAATGACGCGTTATAGTGTTGTTGTAGCACGACATATCGATTCTGCCCAGTGGAACAACAAATTCCCTCATAGTTCGTTTGATAATAAGCTGATATTAGCAAATACCAGGAAGTCAAACCCACTATCAGCTTAAGTAATCCTGGAAGGAGAGGGACATCACCGGCTCTACCAGTGAGTGGTTGTTGTTTTTGGCATTTGCCACCACTTGGAAGCGCTTCTCGAATGCCTCCGCCTCTCGAATAAAAAACGAAGAGAAAAAAGTGTTAAACTTTTGACTTTGGAAGACTTAATTAATCACAAACATGACGAAGATAAAAATACCAGATGTTTGAAAGTTACTTTTATTATAGGACTCATATGTCTTAC